GTATCATATTGTTGGTATCTCTGTCACGTGTCACCTTCTTTGTTATTGTTTTGGTACAGATGGTACTCCTGAATCCTGATCGCGAGTAGTTTTCATGTCTCAGCGATTTCATCAGTGATCAGTTTTTTATTTGTCGATGAAATCATAGGCAGTTTTTCATATATTTGTGAGTGAATGTAAAAAGTAAAGATGTTATTCTTTGCGATTTTTAACAATAGCGACATAACTACATTATTGTATTAGGCGCTTGAAATAAGAAGTGTAGCATTACACATTAAATTAGCATTAGTGCGTTAACAATGTGAGCATTTGGGGTGGTCCATTCTAGCTTTCTAACGCTATTTGGATTCCAGTGGCTGTGACGTTGCACGCGTTCTGATGGTAATTGGATTCTTGTGACTGGCGTTGCACAAGTTCTAGCGATGATTGGATTCATGTGACTGTGACGTTGGACGCATGAAAGCGTTGATTGGATTCTTGTTACTGTGATGATGCAACTCATGCAAGGGCTGTTTTTTTTTCAATGAAACAGCTGTGGCATCTTGCAGAGACTCATCAGTGATGATGATGGACTGAAAGTGGAAGTGTGCTGGACGTTCCAGATTTTTGGGTCCTGCTTTCCAATTTGCTATGTTTACCTGTTAATATATTACCCCTCTGGATTTCCACACTGCTGGGGAGCACCAGCAGTCTTCAATGCTGTGGGCACCACCACAGTGACCACACTATACACAGCGTGGAGCACTCCTGCAGCTTATGGCACTGTGACCAAATCTTTGACATCTGAAGCATTGCCATGGTTTGGCAGTGAATGGGTTTATTTGAAATCGCTGATATCCCAGGTGGACAAAAGTGGGCAAAGTGCTTGAATTAAATGTCACTTTAAACATAGATGTGCTGATCTTTTCTTTACCTTTCAGAATCCTTTCTGCTGTAGCACCAGTATGCCCTGCTTTTTCCAGTGCTTCAGCAAGTTCCTCATTTGAGATATCCTCTCCCATGGGCCCAATGACTCCAACAGACTTGGAGTGATTGGCTGGCACACAAGTTCACAACACTTTACAATCCAGGAACCAAGTTGTGTGGTGCTCAGCAAAGCAGACATCTCTACACCAGGATTATCTTATCTTCCAATGTAATAACCAGAATCTTACGTCCTAGATTTTTACTGAACTTATCAATTCCAGCCCTGCCAAAAGGAGACTCAGCTAAGGCCTTACTGAGGGCTAAGTCATTTGAAAAAAGCTTTTCAACTGACAAGCATCAACAACTGGTTCAATAATGATAACTCTCCCAAAGGAATCAGAGGAATGAGAGGATAGACTATGGCCTTTTCCCTGTCTCTGGCTCTGGGCAGGAGTTAAGATCTCTTCTTCAGAAGTTTCTGAGCCAAGAGGCAAAAGACTGAAGAGAGAGATCACAAGGGTGGTTGCCAGCAGGAAAACCTCCTAAGTCATTCTTTCTGAAAAAACCAGTCCCTCTACCAGAGGCAGCTGGCCTCCCAAAAGCAGAGCCTGGAATAGCAGAGGTCTGAGGATTCATCTAATGATGGTGAGCCAGGTGTTTCTGGGACACAAACAAGATCTTCTGATCTATTTCCCACTGGCAAAGGCGACCCAACTAGTTCAGGCAAAGAAGGAGAGTTGCTGCCTTCATCTGAAGACAGGCTACTTTCCTTCCGCCGCTTATGGCGCGACATTCTCGAAGTTGGTAATGTCGCGCTATTGATTAATTTTTAGGTATCTCAGAGTTCATGTCCACAGTAATCTCGAGTTTCAAAATTGAAATCAGGTATGTAGGCTTAGGAACTTACTAACATCCGTCGTCGATCGCAGCTCGAACCGCTCGTCCGCGCTCTTCTTTTTTTTTCTTTTCAAATTTGCGGGAGCCTCTGAAGACTAGTCCAATGTGGCCCCATGACCGAGTTTTGAGTTATAGTTGTTAATCAATTTAATTAATCACTTAATGCGAAGGGTTAAGACCAACGCACGGCGGTGGACCGATAAGTACTCACAATAATTCCCTGCCACCATGGTCTTCAATGCTGTGGGCTGTGGGCACCACCACACTATACACAGTGTGGAGCACTCCTGCAGCTTATGGCACTGTGACCAAATCTTTGACATCTGAAGCATTGCCATGGTTTGGCAGTGAATGGGTTTACCTGAAATTGCTGATATCCCAGGTCACTTAGGGCTGCAACTAGAGCTTTCCTGCCATTTCCAGAACTGCGAGATTTCCAGCAGATGAATTACTTCCCATCTAATTGTTAACTAAAGTGCACTATCAGGCTGAAAGATTCCAATTATATTAAAAATTTGACATGTTGGAGCCGCGAGATTTCAGAAACAAGTAGGAAAATTCCAATCCTGCGAGGCTGAGTGAGTGAGTGACCAGAGGCAGCTGGCCTCCCAAAAGCAGAGCCTGGAATAGCTGAGGATGCATCTAATGATGGTGAGCCAGGTGTTTCTGGGACACAAACAAGATCTTCTGATCTATTTCCCACTGGCAAAGGCGACCCAACTAGTTCAGGCAAAGAAGGAGAGTTGCTGCCTTCATCTGAAGACAGGCTACTTTCCTTCCGCCGCTTATGGCGCGACATTCTCGAAGTTGGTAATGTCGCGCTATTGATTAATTTTTAGGTATCTCAGAGTTCATGTCCACAGTAATCTCGAGTTTCAAAATTGAAATCAGGTATGTAGGCTTAGGAACTTACTAACATCCGTCGTCGATCGCAGCTCGAACCGCTCGTCCGCGCTCTTCTTTTTTTTTCTTTTCAAATTTGCGGGAGCCTCTGAAGACTAGTCCAATGTGGCCCCATGACCGAGTTTTGAGTTATAGTTGTTAATCAATTTAATTAATCACTTAATTTTCTTTAATTGATCACTTTAATCACTCACTTAATTAACTTTTACTATTTTAATTAATCACTTCAATTCATCACTTTAATTAATTGGCTCTCTACCAACTCATTGAAAATCCTACCTAACTCAAACTGCCCGCACGGCTCAAACTTTCCCTATCCCTAGCATCTGTTGAGGAGAACACTCCACGGCGGAGCCGTGGAATACGGCAGGGCCGNGAAGACCCAGCAACATCGAAGAATTGAAGACTTTTGCCATGGAAGAGTGGCGCAAGATTCCTACTAAAACATGCCAACACCTCGTAGAAACATACAAGAAACGTCTGTCTGCTATCATTGCTGCCAAGGGAGGTCAAACAAAGTTTTAATTTAGAGTTGCCAACCTTTTATATGTTTTTTTCAAAATGTTGCCATTACTTTTGCTTTTGGTGTTTTTCTAGTAAATATAAATACAACAAAGATCTAACGTTTTACTATCCGTTATGCACAGTATTTGGATGTTCTTTGATCAATTTAATTGAAAATAAATGCAGAAATTGCAATAAATTCTTCAAATTATATTATTTCTTAAATTAAATATTTTTAAGCGTGTTGTCAATAAATATGCGCGTAACTGTAAGTTCTCTAACTTAGCAACCCGGCCTTAGAATAGCTCTTGTATTCAGTTGTGTTAAGTGCAAGTGTAAAGTTAGTTCAGAGACGTTGCAAGTTTTTGAGTAATTCATTTTGTCATGCCGTATAAATTCACGTAATAACTGCGTAGTCATCAAATGGTGTCTTGAATAGTGTATTAACATAGCCGGCCACTGATGAATTAGCCGGCCACATTTTAAGCGGCCACTGATGAATTTTGCTGCCACGTAGAGAATCGTTAATGGTGACCTCATTGACCTGTTCAGATATTCATTGGCTTTATTATTAACAATAATTATAAATGCATTGGGTAGCTTACCAGAAAATCTAGTGTCTTTTAGAAGAGCCTGAATAGTGAGTGAATGTCGAAGAGCTTAACACAGTATGTGTAAGTTAGTTACAATAATTACAAAACCTCATATGAACTCTTTGGTTATGGAAACGAAACTTCCAGGAATTCAGTCAATTTTACCAATGCAAAGTTGCAATTGATATTGAAAACAAATAAAATGAAACATTTTAAATGTGATCACTAATTTATGTTAACTCTGTGCTCGCGAACATTTCACCATGGCAAAAAAATTGTCACCATGGCAAATAATGCAATTAATCCTAGACGGATGAACGGATTAATAATAATGTAAATAATCCTTAACGAGAGAGATAATCCTTAACGGATTTATCTCTCTCCAAAAACATTGCATAATCGGTAGAGTTTGGAAATGAATCCCAATAACTGCACGAGGTAAGCTGCCTTGTTATATTTTAATGGATAGAATGATTGACGAGCTTCATTTAATTTTATATGATCGTTGAATACATTTCCTGTCTTTGAAAGGAACATTTGGACGGACGCGCTGCAGTCATCTACTGATGAAGTTCTGATGACACTGCGGAGACATAGAAACACGTTCAACGTAGTCAGAACACTGTAAGAAATTACTGGGTCCAAGGAACACTCAGGATCAGGCTAACTCTTCAGCGCCGACATCACTGTGTTATGTCATGTTAAAAGTATGTGAATGAATAGTTAAAAATTTCGCTTCCATAAATGTCGCATACAGACTAAACATATTGAATAGTCATAAAAGGAACATACTAAAGCATCTAAAATCAATGATCACTTATATATTTGGAGTACAATACGCTCAGAGAGTTTTCCTTACAACTCATCAATGACAAACGGATTTCTGGATACGAAAAGAGCAAATGTTGACTCACGAAATGCACCATATGAAAATTCAGTTACGAGTAATGACTAACTGACAATATGGTGCAATATCGAGCTAACTATTTATACATATTGATTTGTAAGGAGAATATGAAGACAGAAATAATACACAATATTCGAGTAGTAAGAGTATATCAGATAACAGTGTGAAAAATAATAATTTAACGGATTAATATCGGTTTCAATAAGGAAAAAAATATTGAGTGTTTGCAGAATTCTACCAAATTATACTAATTGAAGAATCCAGATATTATGTACTAGGTTTTAGTTTGTGCATACCACAACTCGCTCTCCAGAAAAAAAATATAGTGCATGAAGACTTCTATACGACATATAGGAGTGTTTCTTAGAATTTTCCTGCACTTCAGCCATTATCAGAAATACTTGTAGCACCCACCAGTTAACACGTAAATTGAGTTGGTGCCTATATATGCATCACCCAAGCTGAAGCACCACCATCGACGCCTATCAAGCGCCACCCACCAGCAACACCGAGAAACAATTTTTTAACTTGATTTTTTGTAGAAATATATTGTGATGAGTTAAATATATATCACTCTCAACTTATAACAATATCATATTCATTTGTTTGTAAATTTTCTAGCATGGATTTCATTGAAACATGTATACGAAAGTGAAACGATATTTTCAACGTTAAAAATTGATTATCAGTTCAATTTGACCTTGGTATTAGGAGCATATGGAATTGTTGGTGCTTCATGTGAATGTCCTAAATGCATGCATCCAAAAAGAAGTGTACTCAGCCGTTAAATTTTTTTATTATTCCACAGTTATTTCTGAGTGCGTCTTTACTTTACTTCAGTTTTGTACGCCTTAAACTTGCAAGTCAAATTCCATGTACACATTACCGTAAAATTCTTAAAAATGCATTTACCGGCGAGTAGCATGAATATTTCTTTAAATTGAATCATGTTATTCATCGAATGTAGCGAATAATATGGCACATATAAGTTATGGATTCGTTGATCATGCTTGCAAGTCTCGCGTCATGCATCACTGAACTGCTTGTCCACACAGCGTAACTTTGAAACCAACGCTCAACCATCATGCAAGTTAGGACGAAAGCGAAGCTAGCTGAAAACTCATCCTTGTTGTAACATACATTGTAGTTTTATTGACAAATATGTCATTGTAACACATGAAATGACTTGCAATATTCCTGCCAGTATTCCCAATCAGGTAGTCCATTTTTTAGTCAACACAATGATTCATTGACGGGCAAAGACCTCCAGTTCAGTGATCTCGAGCAAGCCGCCTGGCTCTGCAGTTCTCTGAACCGATACATAGCGACCAGCGACTGGCTGGGTAAGGTTCTGGGTGAACCATGTCGTCGGCAGGTAGGCTGGACCAGGGAACAGAGCCAGTCTCGTGTAGGATGTGAAGTCTGGGCCCTGTACCTGTGTCAGCCCAGTACGCACCTGGGCAAGGTTAAATAAAATTACGCTACTGAACAGAGACAAAATTAATCTAATTAAGAAAAAGAATATTGTTTATTAAATTAAATTTTTTTAATTTAATTCAAGAATGTTCGAATGCATAATTTACAATTATTGGATTTGCTAAGGAGTCAAATCCTGACTCACTTCAACACCCATGAAGCGAGAGGAGTTGAAATCAAGCCTCGGCATGACCCTGACCGACTCGATGCTGAAGGCAGCGCCCAAGTCAACCACCAAGTACGGCTTGGCTTCAGTGTCGGAGTGGAAAATGCTGTCAAACTTTCCATCCGTGGCTCGGGCGGCGTAACTGCAAAAAACATCAGGCAATCTTTCGGTGTAATAATTTCATGCTTGCGCATATGCAGGTCACATACCGGACTTTGGATATTTCAGCACTTATAACCATAACGTTAAGTTCTAAATGTTAAAGAGTATTTTAGGATTATACCTACTTATATCTTACACAGAAATTGGCTCAGTGCATCTTTAAGTTTAGATACTTGGTGAAATTTGTGATTCTAATTTTTTTGTTTGTTGTGATTATGATATGTATTTTGCTCACATTGTTATATGAATTGAAATAACTCTACGAATGAAGTTCGACTCGAGTTTCTCAAATAAAGAAAGTTGAAGTGTACTTGTGTTGATATAATCAACGTCAATTTGTCTTGATTATTCTGAAATTAAGAAAAAAAGCTGCTCATAATTTTTATTGCACTGATATAGAGGTAAAAGAGAAGAAAGGAGTAATGTATCATGTGTTATAAAATATCTGTAATAGTCAGTCTGCTGCTCAATAATGGTGGACTTCAGCGTTACAAAAGAAAAATCAAAGACGGTTCAGTTGTAGATGGATTTAACATATTATTTTCATGGTTCAGAGCTTCCGACATTAAAACTGAGACTTGACCCCCGTTATCTTAAAATGTTATTGCATATTATATTAGTTAAGATGTTAATGTTCATGTCCATAATTAGATGTTCTCAGTAATTCATGGATGTAATCATGTTACAAAAACCAAACAGCCAAAATGTAATTTTTTTTGCCTCACGCTTGCACGATTCCAGTCGCAGAGCAATATTTTCAAGTTGGTATGATGATATATATATATTGGACGCTAAATAAATTGCTCTGCATGATAAATAGTTAACCTGCGCTCTGCAAGAAAGTCATTTTGATAATTCTCTGCAGTCGGCAGGTCTGGAATGATTTTTTTTTCGACAGACGTTAAGTATTATAGATATTTTCTAATTTTTAGTATTATTAATAACAATAACAGTAATAATATTATGACTATTATTATTATTATTGTTATTATTAATATTAGTATTATCCTTATTATTACAAATATTATCGATAATTATTATTTTCATTGATTAATTAATTAATTCTTCTGATTATTTTAGTGTCGCGACGTATAACGTACCAATAAATCATTGCAAATATCGTCGACTCAGTTGGCTCATGAAATATTTACAAAGTTGTCGTAATCAGCACATTAACTGAACTTTACATTTCTATTAAAAAATTTGCATTAAAATATATTTTATACAACAATTTATACATTTTATAAATTTTTCATATTTTGCTAGAATAATTTTCCATGTAATTCCATGTAATCATATTAATTTCGTGCAGTGATCTACAAATCACTGTTATTATGAATTATAATCAATATATTCATGGGATATTCAGCCTGGCTGATAACCCGGATTGTAAATGAATTGCTATCTAATAATACAAGTTTGATCACACATTAGCTGTCGTATGCCTGGCTTCGAAACTATCGAATTTTTTAAGGGGATCAGAATGCTTATATTAAACCATTAATTTTAATCGAATCCAATAATCCAAACAATCAGACCATCGGATTTTCTATTAATTTATGAATTTTACTGTCATATGCATCACGAATTATGGAATTTTATGTTTAATAACACGGCAATAAATTTTGCTAAGAATTTAATTTGAAATTTTTTCATTAAAAAATATATGAAAATATTTTTCCATACATTATAAAAAAACTGAAATATATGGTGTTAAAAATAAAAATAATCCTCCCATCAATTGCAGATATGTACTTATCAGGATAAAGGACCGAAGAAGCGCGCGTTGGTTTCCCTAGTGCCACGTTCGAGGCGGTTGGCGCGTCGCCGCGGAAGCGCAGCAGTGAACCCGCCGCGGCCCGCGGTGCCCCGCCTCCTGCCATCCGGCAACCGCGAACTGAGGCGGCAGAAATTGAACTAAAAATGAGCAAACGCGATCAGCATTGCCTGACTTGACATTTCTTGGTCTTGAATGCTGAAATTTTATTGTTTGTGTTTTGTTATTTGAACCCTGAAAAGTTTACTAGCTTTAGGCAGGGTGGCCCAGTGGTTAAAGTTCAGAGTACCAAGATTGACGCAGAGAGGCGCGGGTTCGTTCCTAGCTCTGTGCGCCAGTTTCTGGTCAGAATCGGCGAGGAGGCCGGGCGGTTAAGCACAGCAGAATTGTAGCAGTGAGTTGCGGGTTCAAGACCGCGAAATGCTGTGAATGTTCTGCGATCTTAAGAATCGGCGACAGGCATACGGCCTAATAAACGCTGAAACCGCTATTTTAGCGGATATAGTCCAGTAAGGTAAGTGTATTATAAGCAATGCTGGGTTAATAATAGAAATAGCAGCAACGTTTATAGTACTGTTTTTTTAAGAATTGAGATCGGTCTCAGCGGACAGACCATCATGGACTAAAAGTGAGAATACAATTTTTGGTCACAAATAGGTTGGTGGAAACGGAGTGCATATTCGGTTTAGAAGCAACACGGAAGCTTGTATGATTTATGAAGTGCACTTTATTCAGAATAGCACACACACAAGTTCACTGACAGCGTATCTATTTTTGACCCCTAATCTGACGCTTCTGAGTCTTTAATTTTTGCGTTGCACTTATTGACCTTCACTTGAAAATTGTAACAATAGTAAGGCAACTTGTGATTCATCTAATTTAACTTTAACCAATGTTTATGGTGCTGATACTTCAAAATGAGTAATAAAACAACTTCTTTATTGTTTTTACATTCATTTCACACACAATGTCCAGTGAACAATACACTCATGCAGATTATAAGACAAAAATTAATGTTTGGTGTGAAAACAGTCGCATTCTGGTTAGCGTAACATGTAATTGTCCAGATACATTGATTGCATTTACGAACTGCTTATGGCTCCCCATATTTAACGCGATATGCAGAAACGATGAATATTTTCACCGAAATTTTCCCTCACAATTAATTAAATGATATCATGGTTGATTTCAATGCAGAAGGGTTCAACTCACTCACCTGCATCATGAGTCATGGAATATTCGACTCACCTGGAATATTCGACTCACCTGGAATATTCGACTCACCTGGAATATTCGACTCACCTGGAATATTCGACTCACCTGGAATATTCGACTGACCTGGAATATTAGACTCACCTGGAATATTCGACTCACCTGGAATATTCGACTGACCTGGAATATTCGACTGACCTGGAATATTAGACTGACCTGGAATATTAGACTCACCTGGAATATTAGACTCACCTGGAATATTCGACTGACCTGGAATATTAGACTCACCTGGAATATTCGACTCACCTGGGATATTCGACTCACTCACCTGGATCATGAGTCATGAACGAGCAGCTGCGTTTGGCACACAGCTGAGCGCAGCGGTTCGCATCCAGATCTGCCTGCTGGTGAGCGCCCGTGTAATCTGATGGCATTTCTCGCAGCCACAAAGACGACTCTGCTGCCGGCGTCGTCAGCAACAGCGACAGCAACGACAGCCAGCGAGGCTGTACCGTGACCATGATTTCAAACACGAATGAATTTTTTTTATCGTTTTGTGTCTTTTTAACTAATTATAATAAACTAATGAGCTGAATTTGTCTCTGGAAATGAGAGGAATTCAAAAAGGGGAGGAATTTGAACATATTTCCATCGTTATAGCTTCACATGATCGCCTGCTGCTAATTAGTATAGAATGATTGCTATGGTAAATTGTTTGAAGCCGAATGATTCACTTGCCATCCTTTTCATGGATTATGGTCCCTTTTGATAATTACGATACTTTATATCAAATGTTGATATAATATACAACTTTTTCTTTACTGTCACAATTCAATGTTACACAAAGTTTTTATCTTATTCACAAAATAAGAATAAGCTCAAAATAGAACATTTTTATACTAAGTGATTTCTCGCATGGAGGGTTGTGAGGAACGCGTCATTTGTCTTTAAATATCAAACTATTTCAATGGCGGACAAATATAAGTTGAAAAACAACCGAATTGCATAGTTTTTGAGCAGCCTGCTCGCGAGTCGCCAGCTAGGAAGGGTCTGGCGGGAAATGCGGCGTGACAATATTGCTTTAACTGTCATGGTAACCGTTGCTGCTGCCTGGTAAACAGAAGAAAATATAATGTACTGCGTGGGGGGAAAGTAGGTTGAAGGTGACGTGAGTCTCTTTCAGATGAACGAAATAAAATAAGTTTTAAATTATAAATTGTTTATCTGGTCGCCATACCTAAATAAAAGTTCATCATTATGCATTTAAAATTAATACGTATAGCTTCTTAAAATATCACAAAATCTGTGAATCGCAGTGTTTTTTAAAATTCGCGGATAAACATAGCTGTCACGGAACTAGCCGTTCGTGGATGACCCCAATCAGATATTCATTGGATTGGTGGATATGAATTAATTAATGGTTGATCGCGAATGCACCGTTACTAATACCAAAAACCGAGTACATGTCCGCGGAGTTTACTCCGTAAATTCAAGTGAGTTAATTCATGTGGAGTCATAAATTGCACAAGCCAGTTACCAATATTGATGCAACAACGAGGAAAATGTTGCAAATGAAACAAACATATAATACTAATAGTGAATACTAATATGTTTACCTCCATTCTTAGCAAAAAAGTCTATTCATTTAACTAATTAAATCCAAAGTCAAGCAACGATAATTTTTGAGCGGAGATAACTTAAGACTATTCATTTAACGAGCTGAAATTTGTCACAATATATTCAGTACAGCCATTTAGTGAACAAAATATTGCGCAGCCGAAAATATAAAGGCGGAAAGCTCTTCATTAGATACTGATTGTAGCTCAAGATTAAAGAGCTTATTATCTGAACGAGCTTATTGCTAAGACAGTGAGTTGCCGTTAACATATCACAGTCAAACAGGTCTTGATCGATCGAAAAAGATTGATGTGGTTCGATCATGAATATGAATGCAGATTCTTGCTCAATCGACTAGGACGAAACCCCATTCAGAGTAAGCAACGTGGAGGGCAACGTCGCGAGGCGACACGCAACACCGATTGTAGAGGAACTTTCTATGCCGATTCAGCGAAGATCTTTGAAGTTTCTGACTCCAATAATTTCAATAATATGTTAGGTCGAATAATCTGCATCGAACAATGTTCAATCTACTGCAGTTGAAGCCGAATCTGCATTAATTGATGTCATATATCCATTGATCTACATCGAATCTACATCAATCGTTTTCGAATCTCCATTGATTGATGTAGAATCTATATTATTCGATGCTGAATCCATAGTATTTGATGTTGTGCATTAGTAGTTTTTGCACTCTACTTTATAGAAATATAATAAATTTTACTCCTGAAACTGAACAACAGTTCAAAGAAAATCAGACCAGTACAAAACCATTCACTTATTTACTTTCACATTACATACTCAGCAGAAAATCAAATCCGCGTATGTACAGTATATTTTAGCGTGTGCAAGAAACATACTATACGCGTTGTCATGACTCTACAAATTATTAACCTGCATCAGTCTTCTGAATACAATTCAACAGGTTAACCATGGTATTTAGTCTAAGCAGTTATTCGCTACAAAGTTAAAATATAGAGAAGCAAAGTATGACATGAGATGACGTAGACAGAAAAAAGAAGAATAGAATTAGATGATAAAATTCCAATCCAAACAAATAGATTGACTTTTATTTTTGCAATCGTTCAAATATATCATCGTTAATAACTCAGACAGTGGACACTTGTGGTTCTGTTTGCATAATACTCAAATTTGATTTAGGATTCAATGCATGGCTTGAAGGATCGAGTTTCAAACTTTATCCAAATGAAAGTGATAACAAAATTTATCAACTCATTAGGGGAACGTCCAGCAAACCTGATAATAAATAAAATAGTTACATATACGTCATGAAATAAATCCGAATATTAAAGTAATGTCTGTAAATTGCTAAAATATATAAGAAACTCAACCACTGGAAATAGTGACATGTATCAAATTCTTTCAGATCAACTTATTTCATTAATTGCGGCTAGTTGACACACTAATGATAAATAAACATGAAATTACAGCAAAAGCATGAGATGATCTGAAATCACATGACAATTATAAAATAAGAGACGAAAACACTAGTAAAGTAAAATAAAGCTAGGCAGTGAGCTTCAATACCATATCACATTTAATTCTAACTAATCACAGTTTATTGGTAACAAGAAATTTATTTACATAGTGGAAGCAAGTAGGAGGTATAAAAAATTAAAATAAAGTTCTTATTTATATAAGCTAAATTATATTTCTGCCTCAATCATCATAATCTTGAAATTGAATAACTTCCCAGGCACTTGTTAAAAAACTCAATAGTGAAATGAAATGATTTTTTTCTTAACATTAACCGTGGATATTTGTCAAGAAAAAACAGCCTTTGTTATGTATGTTAATTCAATCTATATTACTCTTGGTCTATTTCAGACGCAAAATATCAACAAATGCAAGACAGAAGTCTATTGACTTTGCTCCTTTCACATTGATTACATGTGATCAATATCACATATAAATTTATAAGCGATGCACCAAATTCAAGGCAATCATTTACTATTCACGTGATCAAAGACTTCGAGCAATTTCAGACACATGTGTTCGAATGCTCCGCGGATTAATTTTTGAGCGCTCCAACTGAAATGCCGTCCGCTTTAATCAGTGAAGCGAGCTGAGCGCTGCGTGTCCAGCACGCTATTGTGTTTCATAAATAACAAACTTAGAAGAAACTTCAATCTTTTATGTGGTAATTAAGCTTACGTTCCGTCCAGTCCATGAAGTGTAATTGAAACGTTGATAGAAAACGGAGCTCGTAAATTATTTATTTCATTTGTAAAAGAAATTTAACGCCAGAAAAAATTGGTGGGGGCATCATGAAGGCGATACCCTTTTTAGAAATTGCCTATAGCCAAAATGAGTCTGGATGGGCAAAGGTTTAGGAAAATAATTATCATTTTCTTTATAATGCATGCTCAATTATGTGCGTGCAGGCCTACTTAATTTTTTCTAATTGCCACAATTTTATTCTGATCTTCGCTCTGCCAACGTTACTTCGATTGAAGTCCAACAGTTAATAATAAGGAAACGAACCAAAGTAACGATCCTGGTGCGTATGACGATGCTGGTGCAGGCATCGGGGCACCGCATGTCGACTCTGACACAGGCGTCGGTGCTTCGCATGACGAGGCTGGTGCAGGCATCTGGGCAGTGGGCACTGTATTACGATGCTGGCGCTCACCTCCAGCACCGTGCGTGTGATGGCCTCGCTTTGACCCTCCATCAGGTGGTTTCTTAATTGGTCCTTCAGATTGAGGGTGGCACGTGAGACGGCGGCTCAATGTCAGAGCTGTGACCCCGATGTTGTCCATATGAGGAAGAAGTTTGCAACATTATTAATTATCGGAAAATTTATAGACTATATTGGTCTCCTGCATGGGAAACCGTGTTGCTTTTGTTGTGGAAGGGTGGGTCCAGTTCTGTCCTCAAGTCCATGAAACTGTTCTCTCTCGCTCAATGATAAGTTCATGGAATGTGTTTCGTTGAATAAGTTTGGGACCGAAAATACCACGATTTTCCTCAAGCAGAACTTCATCAACTGATAATAGAGATAGGAAAGAATAGTGAGAGAGGAGTATGGGTATAGACACCAAAATCAGAACTATCGCGGGAGAGTAATTAAAATTTTTAGACTAATGGCCGTAGACTTTCAGTTCAGAATGACCTGTCAATGCTATATGTAGCATCATGTAAGGAAATATATTCTTATTTGTTGATAGTTAATTCAGAGTGATTATTAGATCTAATTCTGTTACATGAACTATTATGGCCCAATTCATAATAAAGAACCGTTGAGTTTTAATGAAAAAGTTGTCGTGGGTCAGGCCGCGTGTGCGGCCGTATGTCAGGTCGTGTGCCAGGTCATGTATCAGGATGTTTGTCAGCACGGCCTGATCTTTAAATCTGTGGCTGTATCGCAGTGAAATGATCAGGGATTCGTTCATCAAAGGCATCACCTAGCCTAGTATTAGACAGCGTCTTCTAGAGAACAGAAGTTACCGAATACAGGACTTCAAACTTGTTCTCTCAAACTACAGGACGCAACAGAGAACAAGCAGCATATGATCAAGCTAATGAAGCTAATGCCTTAATTAATTGGAATGAGCGCATCAAAATGCCTCCCACCCCGAATACAGTTGCTATTATTCTTAACTCGGCCGGATTGCTCGAAAGTGATGTTCAAAAGTCCCGCCGATGGTTGCTTCGTGCACGGCTAAGAAAATGTGCTATTATTGTGGTAACTTATTTCACGAACGAACTGTCTGATCAGCTAAGAACGTCACTTACAATTCCTGTGGAAAGAAAGGGCATTTTCAAAAGAAAGAGTGAAGGCAGTAAAGTGTATTCTAGCATATATTCATCCGCGATACTTGCATCAATGTCGTATCCATCGAGCCTCTCTAAAGCTGTCACTATAGCTAGTGTTACTGTCGTACAATTGTTGCTTTGATCGAGACCGACAGTTCTGAAAGCTTTGGCAGCGCCGATGCTGCTAGAAAATTACAGGTGAACGTAAACTCCAGATGAAGAAATTACAATGGCATCAACGTCGCTGATCATAAAGTGCGTCGGGACGACTATTGTCGATCTAGCGATAAAAAAAGTTTTTGTACAGGGCACACTGCTCGGCGTGCTTGACAATCTACACTTGTCCGTTTTAAAAAATTTTACTACGTCACATCAAGACGTAATGTGATGAGATTCCGACGTTTGTTTGCAGTCCCTTTGTAGTATCCAGTATATGAACGGATCTCTCTTCTCTGTTGTATAATGTAAGTATATTTTCTAAACCTTAATCTATTAAATGTTATTTTTGTTATTTAATGTTAATTGATTTGCGTAGTGTTGATAAGCATCTTACATCGACTATTATTCTTCCAGGTAACTGGGCATTTGTTGAATAAAGCTTGGATTACCCAAGTTTATTGCCTCCCTGATTCCTCAACACTCATCATAGATTAACTGTTTGTAAGGAGGTGACAATGTTAATACCATTCGTCCCTGATATTTCCTCAATGATATCTTCTTTGTTGAAAGACAATCTCCTTCACTGCGATATGTTCATAAACTTTTCCTTGTATTAGCCTTCTCTGTTTATCAAGTCACGCCGTTGGTGACGTCAAATAGCGAAGCTATATAAGCTCTGTCTCAAGCGATCAACTTCAGTCTTGGCGAGGGCCACTGCCGATATACCTCTGCTCCTGTCCATAAACTATAAGCCTTCCAAGCTAAAAAAAGCAGTCTTAGGTCTGAATTATTACTCGTTGACTATTTTCTACAAACTATAAGGATATTGGAACGTTATATTTTATCCTATAGGGACTTGAGCTAGTGCAATTGGGACTTGACAGTAACCTTAAATTAACGTAAGAGTTAGAAGACCATATACTCTAGACATATCCGTCTTTCAACTGGACGCCGAAGACATCAATGTAAAAACTCCACACTTATAAACGTAGATCATCCTAAACTGTGGCCGAACTTTAATCCTAAATACTATACTACTATATATTAGAACTAAATAATACTATATAATAGTTTACACTGTTCCTCAATATCCTCGAATCACGCAATAACCGGACCAACCATGAGGTCTTAATTATTTACCATTCATAATTTGAGGTGGACAGAGAAGCAACCTCTTACAGTTCTGACAACTACAACAAACTCGGCTCCAAACAAAAATAACAATGAAATGATAATGAAAATAAATTTTTGAATACTTTTATATATTTATCAAAGTTCAATTGTTCATATTTCCAATGACCAATGGAAGTACAAGATTGGAAATTTCCTACTTTAGCGATTTAAATTTTCATTGAACACGAGATAGCCATGATTTCTTGGGTTATATATAAACACACCAACTCTAAAAGCATGTCTTGCACCAATATTTCTCAAAATTTACTCACATGATGTTATTGTAACAGCTAAATGGTCTATAACATTGCCAAATATCTACAAATTCTTTTTAGAGCCAGGCAGTTACACAAATAATGGTTAATCACGCTCCAAATTCCAGCATCAAAACTTCTGTAGCGAATTTATTCAAGCTTTGTACATAGATTTTTAAACAATATCAGTATAATCCTAAGCACAGTATTTGTATATCCGTGCAACTGGAATTACTTTAGTCGGTCATCTTTAACAATAAATATAAATCTTATTTTCATTGCTTCGCTTAGATAAATGCAAGACTGGTCTTTATTGACAATATTTCATCGAACAAATAATAGAATTCCAAATAAGACTCGTAAATTTCATATGTATGGAATCAAGGAAATTTATAGACCATTTTTCATCGAACAAATAATAGAATTTTAAATTATGATTCGCAAATTTCACAGACTTGGAATGAAGGAAATTTGATTCAAGTAATATAGCCAGAATAACTTGTGAAATATGATAACTAGAATTATGTTCTCTGCCAAATACTGAGAATATTTGAACTGGAATTAATGTTATAATTCTACTTCCATTTTAAATCGTTTAAAAAAGAACGTCAAATATTGACATATCTTGAAGAAAAAAACGAAAGCTCCGTATTGCGACCTTAAATACACAAATTCACAATTCTTCAACTCGTCCCATTGAAATAATTTCTTTCTAATCTCATCTTCAAGAACAGACTAGACGAAGCTATGCAGCAGCATATGTTCAGTCTTAAAATGCCTAGCAAATTACGGACCAGGCAATAAGTCCAGCAGCTATGCAGGAGCATATGTTCAGTCTTAAAATGCCTAGCAAATTACGGACCAGGCAATAAGTCCAGCAGCTATCTCAATCAATCGTCAGCTATAGAAAGATCGGGTTCCAATGGCCTGATCCCTTGTGAATCAAGTCACGAAAAATTCAAGAATCGGCAACAGGCCATGGGCCTATTTCTTCAGCGCCGACACTTCTATTCTATTCTATTCTAATCTAATTCTAATAAATAATTTCTTTCTAATAATTCTAATAATTTCTTTCTTAAATTCTAATAGTAATCTGTAATCTAATTATTTCTAATAATTTCGTTCTAATTCTTTCTAATCCAAATTAAACTTATTTGAACAAACTTCCAAGTCGACTTGAATAAACTGATTTTGATTCGTCAAAAGCGTCATTAATTCATTGCAAATTTACGATGCGTGAAGGCAGGTCACAATAAAAGAAGCATTCATATGTTTCTAAACCTCAGTTTCCACGTGGTGAAAATTTCAGGGTTTGTCAGACTAAAGTTACTCTAAGTGTTTCTTAGTGCCTCAGATAGCTCCAATATTGTGATGATTGTTATTTTTTTATTTCTTTTTATTGCTAAAAGTAATGATGTCGTCTGTCTTTTTACAACACTTCTCTTTAACTTCACTTCTTGTCTGTCTGTCTGTCTGTCTGTCTGCTACAAATCTTGTAATCGAAATTTAATACACTTCTACTTGTTCTATCGATCTGAAATTTTGCACACTTGTGTAAAGTTGGAGACAATGTATGAATCAAATGTCAAAATAAATGCTTTTATAAAAAAATTTTTTTTTCAACATTAAAAAATGGAAAAAATAGTTTTGTCAGCTACAAATCTTATAACTGATATTTGACAAACTTTTACCTGTCTAATTGATCTGAAATTTTGCACACTTGTGTGAAATCAAAGGCAATGCATGAATCAATTAACAGAATAAATAATTTTGAAAAAATTAGGTATATATTAAAAAAATTTATATATATTAAAAAAATTGAAAAGTAAATTTTTTTAATTTTCGAAAATTAGATGAGAAATTCATTGTACATCTGTAAGATTGGAGATACTGGCTTCTTTGGAAGTGTTGTCTTTAAAAAGTAATTTTTAAACGTATATTATTTAATTTCATTTTGTTGCTAAAAGTAATGATGTCGTCTGTCTTTTTTGGCTCTTTGTCTAAAGCACAAATAACCGAGTCTCTCCACTGGCCGCTATATGGGCCAGACGTTCGTCAGATTTTTCGTCTATCGTCAGATACTTTGGTCGATCGTCAGATTGAGATCATATTAATGCAAGACGATTTTTCTACAAAAATTCTATATACATCGATGTGGAAATTTTACGTAGAAAATAATCTCGACTGTTTTACAGTGAACAAAATGCCAAATAAATTTACCAGATTTCAATATAAAATGTTTCATAGACCAACTCCGTCATCAGTTACAAAATGTAAAACATACAAGTAAAATTAATAAAATGACCATATTTAGGAAAAAGATATTAAAACCTAAATAGCAAAACAAAAGGGCGGACTAGCGTAAAAACTTAGTTCTAGAAATCTGCTTGCCCATCCGCCCCATTCTATTACGCGTCTGCCTGCTGAACGTTGCGACGTGCCTACACTGTTAGAAAAAACGGTGAAAAAACGGTCCAACTGGCGTTCTAGTGGCCGGTCGCTCCGTGAAAATAAACTGTTTCGTCGTTTTTATCAGATGTTTTACGGATTTCTAGTGATAAATTAAAATAAAAACGGTGACACGTTGTTTCTTTTCACGTGCCGACAGGCCACTGAAACGCCGGTAATACCGTTAACGGTAATTTTTCTAATAGTGCATGAGCGTTGTTGATTAAATTTTTCTTCAGTCTAAAAAATTAGTTCATTAGAATTAATGCACCTAAATACTCACCGCAGGTAGTAGTGGTCGTGGTGCTTTTCTCGTAGCGTTTGCTGCTGACGATTTTGCTGCAGGATCCAGTAGTGAAAAAGTCAGTGGCATTTTTCTGGAAGACGCTCGAGTTTCTGGCATTTTCGGAGCTGTCGAAAACCAAGTCCGAGGCCCGAAAGGACTGATCCCTGGATGGCGATTTGACAGAATTCAGCGTAGAACTAAAATTACGCATGAATTGTCTTTCATTCTCTTGTGAGGCATCATGTTTGGCAGTTGACGATTCCAGGAAATTACTGGAGGTATTGAAACTAGGTTTAGTTCGGGACGTGGTGGTCTTTAGACTAAGAGCAGGTTTCTCTGTCAGAAGATTTGATGCCGAGGACGAGTACACGCGACTTCTGAGAAAATCTTCGTTATTTAAGTGAGCTGAGCTTTGCGTGTTATCTTTGAGATAAGAAATGTCTTGAATTGAAGACGATTTGGTTGGTGTAGTAAATTTTCTCAAAGACGAGGTACGCATGTTGGAGGAAGAAGAATTTTCGGTCCTGTGATAGCCGAGAGGTGACATGACGCGCTGCTGTGTGAAGGTAGGTGATGCCACTCTGTTGCGGTACTGGGTTGACTCACGGCTCAGTGAACCCTGCTCCATCAGCGGAGATTTGTACGATTGACTAGCCAGACTTGAGCGAAATAAATTTTTATTGCTCAAATTGTCCATTGATGGCGAAAAGTTAGGTGGCGGTGACGTTGGTAAAGAAGGTGGAGTACTTAAATAGGAGGAATTTAGTGAAGACTGCGAGCCTTTTTTGGTCCAGCGCTCGAAATTCAGGTTGCCACCTTGTCCTGGAGGGCTGGGGATTTCAGCCACAGATGTGGTTGTGGTGGTGACGGATTTAGTAACCGGGGTGTGAGGGTTGGTGAGGGAAGGTGGAGAAGGTGTGGTTTTGAGAGTAGTGATGAGTGTTTTCTGCACTGCCGGGGATTGTGGTCGCGAGAAAAAACGTGGGGATTCAGTCCGGAAAGGAGAATTTGGTCTCAACACGCCCATAGGCGGTGGTGACAGTGACATGGGACGTTGCCGAGGAGAGAGGACGGGGGAAGCAGGGGAAGATGTACGGTGCTCCTCGACGACGCGGTGAGTTTTGTATGTTCTTTCGGAGATAATTCGTTTCGTTCTAAGAATTGTCGTCCCGGAGCCTTCTTCGTATTCGTCTAATGAATTGCGATTCAATGAAAATTCAAAAAATAAGTGAGTATGGAACCAATGAACTCATAAGACGACGAGATTTATTTGTATGACAACAAGATTCAAATGAGAATAATGTGGCGATGGTAGCAGTGATGTCAAAGAAATAAAAGTGCATGTCCCAATCACTCCATGAGGGCGGCAGAGCCCAGAGATATTCTCAGCGTCGATGGCGGTGGTAAACAGAGGCGTCCACCGGCAGAGATGGCGTATTAACATGACAGAGACGTGCCATCCACAGGACAGAGACGTGACATCCCCGGGACAAAGAAGTTTTATCCGCAGGACAGAGGCATCACATCACCGGGACAAAGAAGTTTCATCCCCAGGACAGAGGCGTGACATCCCCGGGACAAAGAAGTTTCATCCCCAGGACAGAGGCGTGACATCACCGGGACAAAGAAGTTTCATCCCCAGGACAGAGGCGTGACATCACCGGGACAAAGAAGATTCATCCGCAGGACAGAGGCATCACATCACAGTTAGGACCGTGACAGTTTCCCACCGAGCCGGCGTTACGTAACAGGATTAGGGTTGACGCGTCACACATGTTGAGTTAGTGACGTTGGTGAGTTGTGGGGTAGCGTTAGAAAGAAAATACAAACAACAGTTAGTAAATTGTTTACGAACAACTTTATGCACAGTGATGTCATTGGTAGTTAACGCTGTAAAGTATAACAGACTTTTATTAACAGACAGAATCATCAAGAGAACAAGTTGCAAAACATATTATGTCGAAGCGTACGCTGTGGGATGGAAGTATGGGTCATAACACGTACGATGCGGCGAAGTGAACTACCATACCCAAGGGAAGCTGTAGGGTGATAAGTTTATTAGATTGTAAATAAACAATAAGATAGTATTGATAAGCCTTTTTAATGTGTCAGCGTGAATTAAAGTCATTTTTCACACCGATTTTAACATTAAACGCTGGTGCGGTGCAATAGCATTATTAGATGCAGCGATATTAGTCAGTTAGTCCAATCGTATCTTACCTGGTCGCTAAATTAGTCAAATGGATTCCAGCGTAAATCGTTAGTCAGTTAGTACAATAACTCAGTTAGCCAAAGCATTAGGCAATAACTTGTCACCGACGTCACAGCATTAGTCAACAATTAGTCAATGAAGTCACAGCATTAGTCAAAAAATAGTCATAGAAGTCACAGCATTAGTCAACAAATAGTCAATGAAGTCACAGCATTAGTCAACAAATAGTCAATGAAGTCACAGCATTAGTCAACAGTCAATGAAAAGTCACAGCATTAGTCAACAAATAGTCGATGGAGTCACAGCATTAGTCAACAAATAGTCGATTGAAGTCACAGCATTAGTCAACAAATAGTCGATTGAAGTCACAGCATTAGTCAACAAATAGTCGATGAAGTCACAGCATTAGTTAACAATAGTCACCGAAGTATATCATTAGTTAGGAATATTCAAAGAAGTTCATGACTGATGATCTTGAAGAGATTTTAAGGAAGAAATGAGTGTTTTTGTTTTCCTTGTCTCGGTCGAACAAAAACGGCTATATCAAAACTGCTACCATGATGAGGCTACCAAAACCATAAGTTATAAGATTTTTTTAGGTGCCAAAAGAATTCTTACGAGCAATCAATGGAGGAAAATGTAATTTCTACTTATGCATCGAGTTTACTCTGAATCATGGCTCTGTCTCGTATCCATTAAGCCTATCCCGCCGTGCACCGAGACCGCGAAAAAGTTACTGAGGCATCGAAAAAGCGTTGACTAAAAGTTGTTTCAACGAAACTTCAACTTTGCCTAGCGTCATTTGTGCGTTGGTTAGGTACCAGTAAGAACTCCCATAATTCTCCCTCGAAGACTTGCTCTATTGTAGAACACACGCTGACGCCTAAAATATGTTCTAAAATCATAAAAAAATCATTGATCTTATTACGGCATATTTATAAACGTGACAAACCTCATGATCTCCTACAATTAGGACAAGCGCAAAAGCCTCGCTGTTCGTGCTCTTTTTTTATTGATATAAATTCGTACAGTTTTGCCAGTTAGTGACACATAAATCAATAATTACACTTGGGCTTCCCTCCTGACTCACGTGCTCTGTGATATTGACAAGGGGTATTATAGCGAGTGAACCGCAACTTTGTAAAGGGAATTAAAGGTTATACATTTAAACTATCCTATATATTTATTTAGGCTACGTTTATCTTGAGTTTCAGAGCGTGCCCAAACTTCACGCAAAGCTTACCCAACCTTATCTTCACGAATAACGTACCCAACCCTTTCTTCACGCAAAACTTGCCCAACCTTATCTTCACAAATAACGTACCCAACCCCTTCTTCACACAAAACTTGCCCAACCTTATCTTCACAAATAACGTACCCAACCCTTTCTTCACACAAAACTTACCCAACCTTATCTTCACAAATAACGTACCCAACCCTTTCTTCACACAAAACTTACCCAACCTTATCTTCACACAAAACTTGCCCAACCTTATCTTCACAAATAACGTACCCAACCCTTTCTTCACACAAAACTTACCCAACCTTATCTTCACAAATAACGTACCCAACCCTTTCTTCACACAAAACTTACCCAACCTTATCTTCACGAATAACGTACCCAACCCTTTCTTCACGCAAAACTTACCCAACCTTATCTTCACAAATAACGTACCCAACTTATTCTTCACGCAGAACTTACCCAACCCTATCTTCACAAAAAACGTACCCAACCCCTTCTTTACGCAAAACTTACCAACCTTATCTTCACAAATAACGTACCCAACTTATTCTTCACCCAGAACTTACCCAACCTTATCTTCACAAATAACGTACCCAACCCATTCTTCACCCCCTTCCCCAACTGGTAGCACTCATCGAACACTGATATATATTATGGCATCTTCACAAAATATGACCTTATTTGAAATGTGCATAAGCAACTTGGTGCTAGTATGGTTAATGTTTTGTTATTAGTACGTTAGCCGCAACAATATATTGCGGTACTCAAAGCTAGAGCAATAAAACTGCACCAAAAATATATATGTTTTTTTTAATCCATATATCTACAAGACGTTGAATCTGAATGTTAAACAATAAACTAATACGATGATACGGAAGTATAAATTAATTTGATAAAATAAACGTGGAAATGTCGTACTCGTTTCAGAAAATCGTGGCTTGTATAAGAATCGTGTGTGCAAGACACGTAAACATGCATGAGCAGTGTCTTAGAAACTGTGGTTGACTATTCGGCCCAAACAGGGGTTTGACTCGGTTCTCCTAACCGTTTTTGACTCATCACACAAACTGGAGTAGCTCGGTTTTCTCAACTGTTTTCGACTCATCGCACTAACTGGAGCGACTCGGTTCTCCTAACCGTTTTGACTTTTCGCCCGAACTAGAGTGTGACTCAGTTTTCTAACCGCTTTCGACTCATCGCACGAACTGAAGCGGCTCGGTTTTCCTAACCGTCGTTGACTTTGTGCCCCAACTGGAGTTGTCGCACAGTCTCAGCGTTCCTAACTTTGACGAATTCCGAGTTCATCTACACATTTCACTCCTACAATTAACTTCAATCATCTGTTCATAACAAGGTTAATTTTAATTTTTAATCATGTTGAAGATTGTTCGGTTAGGTCTCAGTATAAGGTTATGTCTCGTTGAGGTAATGTGGCACTATATAATGACACTAATGTCGGTATAGCAGACATCTTCAGTAGGTCGAGGGCAGGATCTTCATGTTGGCGACGCTGCTGTAGAAGAAAGATTTGCCTGCACACAAGCATGCACCTCGTTCAGAATACAGGCGAGGGGAGACATTGCTAGTTTGGCTCACGTCAACTTGACACATATTGGGGAAAGATCCAAGTATTGAGAGAAAAACTTATAAGCGGCAATGGGGAAAGTTCCAAGCAGTAACGGAGCAGTTCTAAATGTTATGGGCGGAAGTTACAGAACTTCTTAGTTATAAATAATTTCCGTGGTGTTTTTTTGGTGACTAGCTGAGTCTGAATAAAATGCACGAGTTGCAGTGCTTAAATATCAGAAACTTCCTCAATCGTAGCAAATTCTTTACCAAAACAAACCATAGAAATAACAACATTTCTTAATAAACATGAATCTGCTAAATGATCTACACATGTTTCATGAATGAAGAAAAACTTTATCTCCTAACCTTACATCGTATGAAGAGCCAATGAGAAGCTTCTCGTGCAGCATTTAACGCGTGGTTCATAATCTTTGGTACGCGTACCTCGAGTAGTGATGGTAAAGCCTTCATGTGGTGCACGTGCTATGTTTGTGTGCTACATAAAGATTTACACAGGATAATTTGGCAATGATTTGCATAGGATAATCTGGCAACGATTTACAAAGGATAATCTGGCAACGATTAGCTGCAGTTGCCACACGCCTTCACCTACTCCCTCCCGACCACTGATAACTAAAACAGTGCACCTACCTAATGCGCTTGTTATTTCTGTATAGAAAGTATATAATACTAGCACCACTATATATCAGGTGCAAGCTTGTAGCATTTGGTACACGGTGGTGGTAGCTGGTGGTACGGCACGTCAATATAGAGGCAGTTAATACAAATATGCACAAGAATCGGCGACAGGCCTATCCAGGCCTATTCTTCAATGCCGAAGATACTATACTACTATACTATACTAATAAACCACCTTTAAAGAGGTGGTACGGCAGTTAATAAAGAGAAGTTTGGGCAGAAATGGGCAATTCAGAGGCGATCGTGGTCTAGTGTTCGACGAATATATATTTCAAGACGGCTAATTATAAAATTATAATTAAATTCGTTTTCTCTGACTTATTTCATCCATCGTAAATGAGTGTCACATGAGAAGCATACAATCGTCTGCATATGCACGGTTCTCGGGTTGACAAGTGCGTGGTTAACGTACATGGTTCTACGGTTCAAGACGCATGGCATGGGCACATGGTTCTACGGTTCTAAGATGCATGGCATAGGTACATGGTTCTACGGTTCTAAGACGCATGGCATAGGTACATGGTTCTACGGTTCTAAGATGCATGGCACATGGTTCTAAAAGCACATGGTTCTAAGATGCATGGTATAGGTACATGGTTCTACGGTTCTAAGAACCATGTCATAGGTATATGGTTCTAAGACGCATGACATGGTTCTACGGTTCTAACCTTCAGAGTTCCTGCCGGACGTCTTGGCGACGAGCGCAACCCGTGCGGGGGCGGACAGCCCGGGGCCGTTCTCGCCCACGTCCCCCACGGGCGTGGACCGTCCCACGGGGGACGGGGACGTCGCCCGTGCCAGGGGCGACAAGGGCGGCGACGACCGCGAGTCGAGGCGAGGCGACCGACTGGGGGTAAAAAATCATTGATTGAATTTTGTCAGCCATAAAAAAATTCATTTTTTTAGAAATGAAGTTGAAATAGTTTTGTGAAACTGAATTTATTTATTGAATGCTAACGTAAAGAGATTACATCCAAATGAGATTTAGTTAAAAAAAGTGACAAGATGTTCCTTGCGTTAGAAACGAATTATACCAACTCTAGCTGTTACGCAACTAAAAAGTAACAATGAACTTCCAGCTTCTTCTGGGAAGCATTTCAGGCGTAGCATCCCACGCTGCATTTCTCAGCAAAAAAAATCGTTTTCTAAGCTATACAAAATTACTTCAATGCAATGATGTCAACTCGTAAAACTGGATATCTACAATATTGCAATTAATAGAGGGTCAGTGGAAGGTTTCAAAGTTGAACCTAGAATTTAGTATTAAATGCATTGGAAACTGTTCAGTGAATCATTAATATAGAATATTAGAAATTGATGACGATAGGCGAACAACGCTATGAAGACTCCTGGAAAAAAGACCAACATGGCAACCGTTCGTTTGGATCACGTGCAGTTAAACCTTGTATGACTTATTAAATATTACAATGTGTGTTAAGATATTTGATATCAAGTAGTAAAATATGAGGTCTATGAGATATCATCTAAAATTCTATAGTGTGAATATACGCACAAAACGCTCGTTATAAGTCATGATATCAGGCGATAATAGTTTATTATTAATGATTTTAATAAGCTAACCGTTAATTGTTGACCCGTTAATTGCTATTATTAATTATAAACTTACACAAGCCTGGGGGCCGGCGACGTGTCTCTCTGGAACAGCGACGTCGCGCGTCGGTTTTGCGTCTCATCAACGAAAGTCGACGTCGAAGACGAGTTGAAAACGGACGTCTTCTTGAAGTTGGCGTCCACGACGTCCGAGTCGTCAAAGCTGGACGACAGGGCGGACGTTTTGTTGAACTTGTTGGGCGGCGACACGAGCGTCCCGTTGATGTTCTTGTTGACATCAAAAGCAGCGCGGGTTGAAGGAAAGTTGAATGCGATGATACGTGGAGTGTGATGTTTGTCTTCGTACGACGAGGAAAAGTTTGACGTGTCCAGTGACGAAGATGTTTTGGTGGTTGAGTTGAAGACGGAGGAGCTGTTGAAACTTGACTTCAGGTCCCGAGAGTGAGAGTTGACGTCCAAGCTGGAGTTGTTGAGGGACTTTCGGGGACGTTCGAGCGTCGAATCGTACGTCTTGACGAGGAGGTCGCTTCCTGACTTGTGACGAGACGTCGCGTACTCTTTGACGATCTCACTTACGTCCTGTACAATACGACGTGTTAGTTCTCTGGCACAAGTGAAATGGTGACTCATTAAGATAGGCTGTTTATTTCATATAGTGACTTCATATAATCATTATAAGTGGCTCATTTATATAAAGTATCTCAATTGTTTCAAGATACTGAGAAGTGAGAATGTACAGAAGCAAAATGTAAGCAAGTCAGTATAGAGAAAATTGAAAAATATAAAAAAAGCGTACTTGGACATTTGAATCCTAAGCACAAGCAATAATAATTGACGTTAAGCATTAAATTATAGTAAAAGTGAGAGAGAAGGCCCCACCTTAGAGTCCTTGGAGTCCTTCTTGACCTTCCTGGCCTTGGACTTCCTCTCACTCACCTTAGAGTCCTTGGAGTCCTTCTTGACCTTCCTGGCCTTGGACTTCCTCTCAGGAGGCTTCTGGATGCCGAGGTACAGCGAGAATGGCGAGCCTGTCCATCAATAGCATAATTAAGGTAATAGAAATAATAATACATTTTGATGGCAATAATGAAGTTTCGGAGTCCAGCTCCATCGTCAGTTCATAACACAAAATTCAGTTCAGAAGAAGTTCAGTCCTAGAAACAGAAATTGATCGTATTTGTGTTTCTAAAACTGAACTTCTTCTCAACAGAGCTTTGTGTTATGAACTGCATGACGATGGAGCTGGACTCCGAAACGTTTTCTCTCATAAAGATATGGTGAATTTTTGTGGTATTGTCTTTGCTTTTAAATTCCTGGTCATTTAAGAAGAATTGAGGCAGTGAGTGAGATGTGACCGCTATGGATGAGAGACTCGACCGAAATGGGCGACGCCGGAACTTAAATTTTAGTGTTAATTAGAGCATCAAGACTGTGCAGCACAGCAAACGCCATTTTGAAATGACAAAATTAAATCGTCGGTCACTTTAATAATAAGAAACACAAAAGGTTTTGATTTTGATACAAAAATACAGAACACAGAACGAAAACAGCAAGAAACAACAAGATGCTAGCAAACAGCCTGTTTCAAAATCGCATTTAAAAATGAAGTATTTGTCTGTAGGTAATATGTGCGTGATATATACATACGCTACACACTTGCTGTGTTTTACACACTTGCTGTGTTGTACACACCTGCTGCGTAGTACACACCTGCTGTGTAGTACACACCTGCTGTGTAGTACACAGCTGCTGTGTAGTACTTACCTGCTGTGTAGTACACACCTGCTGTGTAGTACACACCTGCTGTGTTGTACACAGCAGCTGTATAGTACACAGACATAACTCACCTCGTACTTCGTGGCCGTTGAAGTACACGTACACGCGGTACCTGTACAACAGTAACAGTCATATACAGTTAACAGTTAATGCAACTTTAATTACGTTAATTAAGTTAATGTTAATAACAGTTAATGCAACTCTGATCAAAAACTGTCGACGGACCGTTAATGAAAGTTAAAATTATATGCTAATTAATTTAATTACGAATAAAATGACCATAATAAAGTATGGAATTTTTGGAGGGAAGAGTTCATAAATATCTAAGGGTATTAACAACATGGGACGACATAACCTTATTTGAAGTTAGTGCTGATATATACATACTGTAGCTAAGCCTGCATCACAAAATAGATCAACGCACAAAATATACATAAATTAACATAATTGTTAGCGACTATATAGAATTATAACACATTGATATTTGATTTCAAATTTGCCTATAAATTTCACTGTATAGTATTACTGTATTAGGGACATGTTGGTGTTAATGTTTGCATGTCTTCTCTTTTCAGGTGATAATTTAGTTGACTAATGCTTTATTCTAGCCAACCTTTGTTTGAGACCTACAAGACTTTTTAGGTTCATTTCAATATTATATCGATTTTCAAGATCATCGAAAAGATCTAGCTTGTTTTCATAAAATGTCAAAATACAATATCACTATTCACACAATAAACATTATTATTTAAACACCTAACATTACAATTACAGCAAATCAAAGTGACAGAATTATTATCGACTATACAGAATTATAAAACATTGATATTATATCAATTTTCCCGATCGTCGAAAAGACCTTGCGTGTTTTTTTATAAAATATCAACAAACAATATCACTATTCACACAATAAACATTATTATTTGCACAACGCATTGATATTATATCGAATTTCCCGATCATTGAAAAGATCTAGCGTGTTTTTTTATAAAATGTCAAAATACAATATCACTATTCACACAATAAACATTATTATTTACACGCTAAACATCATAATTAAAACATATAACGTACTTAGCGGCCTCGAAAGGCGTGAAGGTGATCTCGTAGAGGCTGTATATAACGTAATAATAATAACGTAAATAATAATAATATGTAGAAATAATAATAATACATAATAATAAGAAATAATATAATAATAAATAATAATAATATGTCAAACTTAATAATAATAATATGTAGAGGCTGTAATAACGTACTTAGCGGCCTCGAATGGCGTGAAGGTGATCTCGTAGAGGCTGTGGTCCACCTCGAGGGTCTTGGACGGCTGCGACTGTCCCGCCAGAGTAACGTCCGCCCGTACGTCCCCCAGACCACACGCTGCCGAGTCTACCAGCAGCGTGAAGGGCTTGCCCGTCGGGGCATTAGGCCCGTCGTCCAGGTTCAGGATCTGAGAGTACGTCAACGTACAGTACGTTATGGTGCAGAAATAACAGCTTCTTCATCAACAGTTTAATCGTTCGTGTGAATTTTAAATTGTCAACTTCTGCAGTACGAAATTTTTAGTACAAAAAAGCAGTTGAAACGTCGCAGACCGAAGGCCGTAGACGTGGCCTGCTCACCTGTATGGCGTTGGGGTCGTAGACGTGACCTGTTGGGGTCGTAGACGTGGCCTGCTCACCTGGGGCCGTAGACGTGGCCTGCTCACCTGCACCGCGTTGGGGTCGTAGACGTGCCTGCTCACCTGTAGGGCGTTGGGGTCGTAGACGTGACCTGCTCACCTGCACGGCGTTGGGGTCGTAGACGTGACCTGCTCACCTGTATGGCGTTGGGGTCGTAGACGTGGCCTGCTCACCTGTAAGGCGTTGGGGTCGTAGACGTGGCCTGTTCACCTGTATGGCGTTGAGGTCGTAGACGTGGCCAGCTCACCTGTATGGCGTTGGGGTCGTAGACGTGGCCTGCTCACCTGTATGGCGTTGGGGTCGTAGACGTGACCTGTTGGGGTCGTAGACGTGGCCTGCTCACCTGCACGGCNGGTTATTTTCAGTTAAGCAGTGTTAACGGGTTATTTTCAGTTAAGCAGTGTTAACGGGTTATTTTCAGTTAAGCAGTGTTAACGGGTTATTTTCAGTTAAGCAGTGTTAACGGGTTATTTTCAGTTAAGCAGTGTTAACGGGTTATTTTCAGTTAAGCAGTGTTAACGGGTTATTTTCAGTTAAGCAGTGTTAACGGGTTATTTTCAGTTAAGCAGTGTTAACGGGTTATTTTCAGTTAAGCAGTGTTAACGGGTTATTTTCAGTTAAGCAGTGTTAACGGGTTATTTTCAGTTAAGCAGTGTTAACGGGTTATATTCAGTTAAGCAGTGTTAACGGGTTATATTCAGTTGAGCAGTGTTAACGGGTTATATTCAGTTAAGCAGTGTTAACGGGTTATATTTAGTTAAGGAGTGTTAACGGGTTATATTCAGTTAAGCAGTGTTAACGGGTTATATTCAGTTGAGCAGTGTTAACGGGTTATATTCAGATAAGCAGTGTTAACGGGTTATATTTAGTTAAGGAGTGTTAACGGGTTATTTTCAGTTAAGCAGTGTTAACGGGTTATATTTAGTTAAGGAGTGTTAACGGGTTATATTCAGTTAAGGAGTGTTAACGGGTTATATTCAGTTAAAGGAAAAATAGGATAAATTAACGGGCTATGGTCAATTAACGGTCTGTCATATCGGTAAATATTGACGAGATGGGAGTAACAACAATTAACCACCCTAATACCAGCAGTAAATAATCAAAACAAATGCTCAATAACCAATACAAATACTTGTACTAACCAGTACTCGCTGTTGGGTACTTGTACTAACAGCGAGCTGTTAGTACAAGTACTAAGTACTTGTACTTGTGATACCCACAGATACGTGGGTATCACATCAAAGTACACAGATACGGGGGTATCACAGATACGTGGCTGTTAGTATACAAGTACTAAGTACTTGTACTAACTTAGTACGCTGTTAGTACTTGTAGTAACTTAGTTAGTACTTAGTACGCTGTTAGTACAAGTACCCCACCAGTACCAGCTGGTAGTACAAGTACCCCACCAGTACCCACAAGTACCTCGTAGAAGCCGACGTGCGTAGGTATAAACTCCCCCTTTGCACCGCGTCCGTCAAAGCTGAGGTCCGGACGTACCAGCCCCTGAGGACCGCGTACCTGCACGCGTACCTCACTGCGTACCACGTCGCTGCTCTGGTACTGGATGTCGAAGGGTACCTGCACGCAGTAGGACAATTCATGCCTGCAGCGTTCTTGCCTGATGCACGAACTGATACAACACAACCAGATCAGCCGCCATACTTTTTTTAATTTTTTCTTTTTCTCTCTTCTTCTTCTTGCCACACATTTCCTACTACACACAGCAATCTCCCAATTGTGGCCTTTTCCTGTGTGTATCATTAGTGTTTAAAGCAATCATACATTAGTTTTATACCTAGCCGAAAAACCCCAAACTAACCTAACCGAACAGAACACAATCTGACATTATCCTAACTTAACCTGTCCTAACCTAATCTACCTCACCTAACCCGAACAAGCAGCAGCGTTGGTTCCCTTGCAACTTGGACTTCCCAAGACCACCGCGCGGTATGCAATCGAGTTTTTATTAGGTAAATTATGAACGACCAGCAGTAACCATAACGCGCCCACCACAACCTCCACATTTGCGCGCTCTAGCAGCTTAAAAGCAATAGCACGCAGATATTAGTTAGGTTTCTTCCAAATTCATATCATCAATATTCTAATTGCCTAGTTTTCATTGAATATTTTGGTTCCATGCCAATCTTTTCCCATTTAACCTACGAATTTTTTGCGCTCGTTTTGAGGGACAGTTTCGACACGGCCATCAATCGGATAAGTTTAATTATCTGTATTACCAATTCATAAGTGTCATTGGACAGAGTCTAGAAATTGCATAGGCAATAACTTTTTATCGCATTCACACTCGCAGATATCGAAAGATTAGATCGGAAGAGTGTATCGAGACCTTTACTAAACGCATCAAAAATTGAATCAGCTAACTCACGATTAACATAGATAACTAACAGTTAGAAATGACATAATTTGCAGAGACGGCAATATAAATAAGTCTGAAAATCATTTGATGTACAAAAGTCACTGCTGCTGTATCGACATAAAACGAGAGGGAAATTTTCTACAACTTGAGCTCTGTTCTGCACGCATTAACCCGTTAACACAAAACCTATTATGATAATTAACACAAAAACTCTTCCAGCCTTTATAAAATATTGAGGCTCAAGATGACTAGCAAAGCAAATGAATTTGCAAATATTTTCTAATACCAACAAACTCTTACTTATTAACATCATTCATTCCTATTAAACAATTGGTAAACAATAAATTGACGGCACATTTCTTTTGACCTCCACTCAAACTCAAAGTTTCATCATAAAAAACGCGTTTAATCTTCAAACAACAAACTCTTACTTATAAACATCATTCATTCCTATTAAACAATTAGTATACAATAAATTGCCGGCACCTTTCTTTTGAACACCACCAAACTCAAAGTTTCATCATAAAACGCGTTTAATCTTCAAACAAAGAGAGCAGTTCCAGTCCATGCTAAACCTTCCATGTGCGACAAAATTCATGTTTTTTCAGATATACTTTAATGATTTTCAAGTTTATTTCAATAATACGCATGTTTAACATGGTTATCTATTAAACATAATCGCCATATTAAAATTTAATCTTCTCGTATAAGCCAACCTTAAAATTTACTATGTGAGTTTTGGACGGGAAACAACTCATATAAGGCGGACCTTTTACAGGCAAAATATATTCTTCCAGTATAATAAGAATATCATTCTAAATTCAAATACAATAGATATATGTTAATAAAATAAAAATACAGCGTTTATTAATAAAACTTTGACACCCGTTCACACGTGATGTATTCAATAACAGCACGTGATGTATTCAGATTTTTTTAGCTTCATGGACTGCGTAAATTTAAACCGGAAAAAGTTGAATTTTTTTTCACAGTGAACAGGCAGGATCTACTGACAATAAGACAAGTTTACAAGCAAAGATGCTCCATTATTTAGACCATTAAATACTAGAACTCCAGGCACACTGAGTGTGAAGAACCTCGTATCGAGAATCTTCTTAGCGTAGAATAATTTGACACGCGTAGTTTGCCGACGGTTTCTGGCGAAGTCGAAACATTTAATAAAACTAAACGAAATATAAAACATACGTATATACACAATAATTAACATGAAACATATATATATATATACACAATAATTAAACAAACAAGTCAGGTACAACAGCCTCGGGTATAGCGGCTACTTACCAAATTATTGAGGTAAGCTCGGTTAGTCAACTGGTAAAAGCTTTCATCGTATAATGATGGCCTATGCCAATCACAACGCCCTAGTAAACTGGCGTTCTCGAGAATAGGACGAATCTAAAATTTCATATTAAGCGCACATGAGAAAACCCTTCACACTGAGCACAATAGTGTACACATGCCACTGTACACTACATATTGTTTACACTGAGCGGGAGTTTGTACGCATGCAGACTAACTGAGCACAATAGTGTACTACGAGGCACAATAGTGTACACAATAGTGTACACATTGTACATGTACACAATAGTGTACAAACTGAGCACAATAGTGTACACATTGTACATGTACACAATAGTGTACACACTGAGCACAATAGTGTACACATTGTACATGTACACAATAGTGTACACACTGAGCACAATAGTGTACACATGCCACTGTACACTATATTGTTTACACTGAGCGGCAGTTTGTATACGCATACAGACTAACACTGAGGTGTCAGCGCCGTGCGTAAATGGGGCGATCATAAAGCGTATGTCGCGCATCATGTCAGGGCTCGCCCACGCGACCTGAGTGACGCCCTCGCACATCCCTTCACATCACACTTGATATCATCACACTATATCTCATGACAACACGGTTCATAACACCGCATCACATCTAATGAAAACACACCATATCTCATAACACTACGATTCATAGCACCACATCACATATCATAACACCACACCACATCTCATAACAGCGTACCATATCTCACAACAACACGGTTCATAACACATGTACATCACATCTCATAACAGCGTACCATATCTCATAACAACACGGTTCATAACACATGCACATCACAGCTCATAACAGCACGGTTACATAACACCACATCATATCTCATAACAGCACACCACATCTCTCCACACTGCTCCACATTTTCTCATACAAAACTAAATGTAGCAACACTACACCAAATGTTTTCATACAAAACTATGCATAGTAACACTATACACCATAACATTTTTCACCACATCATACACATTCGTATATTGCGGTTTCCTAAAGCCTTGTCATGCACGGACATCCTAAAGCGCAACGTCATCTACCGTAACATCACTTGCCTCTTCTCTTGCAGTCACCATACACGCCATACCACAAAAGTAGCATATGTGTTAGTACACAACACAACACACACCACAATACAACACAACACAACAAACAACACAACGCAACAAACAAACATCACACCACAACAAACAACACAAGACAACAAACATAACATAACAAACAACACACAACAACAAACAACACAACACAACAAACAGCACAAATTACACCACAAACAACACACAACACAACAAACAACACACAACACAACAAACAACACACAACAAACAACACAACACAGCACAACAATACACAACACAGCACAGCAGGGCTCGTTTACACCACCACGGCTACCGCCTTCGCCACAGCGCAGGCGACGACAGAAACGCGCTCTCTCGTGCCTTCCATTTCCTACAGTTCGGTACTGCTGTGCACTATCAGTTATCAACCAGCTAAACACACAATTATATAACCATGTTATCCTCACTTGTACTACTTTATTTTGATTTAAAATATCCTTATAATTAGCAAGTTAATTAGCAAGCTAACCCGTACAGCTTTAGTACAGACGCAGAGCACGACACTTGCAGCCAGAGATACAAACCCTGCACACGTGAATGTAAGCAAAGTGACAGCGGGCAGACTAATGTATTTTGTCTGAGTCAGACACATGACGAGTGCAAGATGATTTACACTTAATGTGTGCATTTATCTGTGTTAAATTAGATCAGGTAAATATATTAATTAATATTCGTTAAAAGGATTTATGGATATAGGTTTTAAATTCAATCAGAGACGTGAGGTTAACTAAGGATCATGATAAAAAATCAAAGCTTGGTAATGTTTTTATTGGCGGAAAACCTTTGGCCACGAATAAAAGATATTCACTATTCTAATCACTATTCTATAATAGTTATAATATAAAAATAATATAATAATATTATATTAATATATAAGAGTCCCCCTCCAAATGTAATTCTATAATTACAAAAGAAGGCCGGTCAAAACCTGGCCTTTCTTATATCGCATGCACAAACCTAATAAATTGCCGACCGGTTATCATGCATGGAAGCCGCCATGAAAATGATGGGATAAACGCAACGTCATCCAAATTTCTAAAGATGTCCAACGCGACGATCTTTAGAAATTTATGACAAAAAATGATTACGAGTAGAATTATAAAATGATTGAAAAGTGCGTGTAGGTGCGTATTAATATCCGTAGTAACCTAGAATCTTGATTCAATTTTTATAATTTATTATAATTATTTAAAAATTATAATGATTAATTCATCAATTATAATTATTACCGACGCAAAGGATTGGCAGCGAACCAGTGATTGGTTCTGGAGGACAACGCACAATGCACTCAGATTTTATGAGGTATTTATGAATGCTACTTCCATACTCAATTAATGGTGAGAACTCGCTCATCCTCGATGGTGAGAACTCACTCATACTCTATGGTGAGAACTCACTCATACTCTATGGTGAGAACTCACTCATACTCTATGGTGAGAACTCACTCATACTCTATGGTAAGAACTCACTCATACTCTATGGTGAGAACTCACTCATCCTCGATGGTGAGAACTTTTTTTTTCAATAAATAATCTTATTGCATTGATTGTATTCCTGCAATTGAATTTCTGGAATTTTTCCTCAGAACTCAATTGAACAAAACATTAGTCTAGAAAAACATGCAATCAAAAAATAATGGTTGAATCAATACATAATCATGAATTCAAATTGAATTAATAGACTTCTAAGCCTAGGTACAATTACTTGTATAAAAC